AATTGGTCCTCACAAATTCAGGCCTGTGGGATCAGTCAAAAAATGTGAAATTTTATAAAATTTCAAGAGAGCTGAGAAGAAGCGTCCTGTTTTACCGAGCATGCGCCTTTGATGTCTTGAGATAGGTACAGTTTTGAATGATAACTTTTATCTGTTAATATCGATTATTTTATCGATTGAATAAGGCCCAAGTTTACGGCAATGATTATTAGTACCGGTAATTAAGGCCAATATGATCCTTAGATGTGTACGATTGTAACTATAACATAATTATTCCTATTGTGAATCATTAGCTTTGTAGATAATTAAATGTATTATCAGTTTGTTTAAAAAGTCTTACAGTTCCATTGTGTGTGCATTTGACCAGAGTGTCTCCGAGTGGTAAATGTCCCAGTCTTTTGGAAAATTGTACACTGGGTGACACTGTTCTGTCTTTCCTTGATACAAGAGTTGGGGTGGAAGTACATGCCCTGACATTGTACACCCTAATAACACAGTCATTTGATGTTTGTCATCCATGGCTTTAATTGGAACCTGTTCCGAACCTTCTTCTGCCATTGTCCAGTCGCCAACAGGCACAAAATTAGAACCTGTTTGATCCCAATTTATCACTAGAGCTTCCGGGATATTAAATTCTTTACGAGCATCTCCAATTCTAGCAAGAAATTTTGTCTTGATTTCGTCAAAGTCTGACGGTAGAGATTTAACACCTTTTGTGCCTTTAGTTTAACATAACCAAGTCGCTTCATAATTGAAGAGGCCCATGCTTTAGAAAGTTCAACTGGCCCCCCATGTTCTTGTAATAAAGTTTTATCTTTTGCGAGAAGAATTCCTTTGGCTGCTGCGACCACAATTTTCTTATTTACCACACCACCCGTTTCTCGTAGATTTCTGATGTAATCGCAGACATCGGAGTCGTAATGGCCCAGTTTTAGTGGACGTCCCCGTGGTGATTTAGGAAGCTTGCTTCCAAGTTCTGCTCCAAATTTTTTGAATTTTAAGTAGGATGTTTTCATTCCACGAACGGTACTTTCATTGATTGACTTCGATAGAACTTAATTTGGCAGCAGCAGTATTTCCATTTTCGATTGCATAACGCGCTATATTCATACGTTGTTCTGGGGAATATTCAGAATAATTACCCCGTTTTCTTTTCCTACTGCTTGGTGGAGATACACTTCCAATTTCCTCATCTGCTAAACGTTCGGCGATTGAACGTTTTGGGGTAGTAAAGAATTGCGTTATACTAGGTGTACTCATTTCTGCCGACTAATCTGACATCTGAATATGGTTTCATTTTAATAAAGAATAGACAAAAGGGACTCAGTCACACATGAATAGATTCACCTTACACCAAATGGTGAATAGTTCTTACTCTCTCTCTCTCTCTTTCTCTCTCTCTCTCGAATATTGTAAACAAAAAACACGGGGAAGTAACTCTTATAGCAAAAAGTCCAACTATGGAGAATCTCTCTCTCCCTTTCTCTCTCTCTCTCTCTCTCGCATACTTGTACAAAAAAAATAAGAACCAGATTGAAATAAGCAATTTCAGCTTTTTACAATGCTTATAATATTTAAAGAAGATTTCTTTGATATTTCAGTATTTAAACACAAGACAAACAAGTCATATAAGTATAAATTATATTTATTCAACAATATACGATAAACACGGGAAGTAACTCTTATATGCAAAATAGCCCAAACTACGAAAAATTCTTGGTCAGTGATTCGCGAAAGTTATGTTTCGCGAATAAATACACTAATCTTTACACAAGAAAATAAGGTGTCGCGAAAATTTAGTGATCTACAGTAAGTCAATGAAATTTGACAGTTATATCTAACATGGATTTTTTGAAAATCAAGGTTTAAGTAGTTCACTGATTATAGATTTTCTCTCCTTATAAACAACTAAATGGGGGGGGGAGGGGTTAACTTTAGGAATTTCATGTACAAAAACCACTCAAAACTCACATTTTGTCCAAAATGTGCATACATGCAGTAAATATAGTCGTGTACTAAATATACAAAAATAACAAAAATTAAACGACAGGAAATTTTTGGAGTATGTGTGTTGTACATCCTTAAGAAATAAAGTCCACGTTTTTGTGAATGTTGCAGAATAACCTCCAAGGTTGAGAAATGTTGTTTGAAATATAAAAGCGTTAGTTGAGGCTTTTATATTTCAAACAACATTTAGAGACTGAGGAGGTTATCCTGCATCATTCACAAAAACAAGGACTTTATATTTCTATTCTACTAACAGTTCTAAAATACGTCTGATCATTCCTTAGAGAAACAAATAAGTTCACTATGTTGGGATTAAGTGTTCCATTTAGCACCATAGGGTAGATTTGTTTGTTTACTTATGCATGTAATGCAGATGATTTGAGCTTTCACTGCATTAAAATTAGCCTTTTATTAAATATAAAGCTGTTTGTTACACATATTAATTTATTTTTATGATTTACAATAACAAACTCAGTTTCCTATTTTAACACTTAAACACTTCAATCACAGCTATAAATGGTGCAAGGAAGCCAGTGGAACATCCCCACTTTGCATTTAGCATGTCCACAGCATTTCCTTGATTTTGACAATAATCATAGAAGAATAAACTATAATCAATTTTTTTTTATTTTTGGCAAATATTTTATACAGGGTTATTGAACATACATTGGTGAATATATATGGCACAAGTTGACTCTAAAAATGCATGAGCTTGCTATTGCCAATATTCACCAATAAATATTAAGTTCAATGACTCCTTTAATTGTTACTAAGTTTCAATAAAACATCTCCATTGTAATTAAATAACTCAAAAAGAATTTTTCAGTTCGAGTATTTAAACAAACACCTATCATGTAATGTTTTTTTTGATCATGAATGTCATTATTTTTAAGGTACCCAACCTATATATAAGGACCAAATTTTCTTAACTTGAAAATCAATTGTATATATAAAAATACTAGATATTATTTCAAAGCATTTTAGAGTATAAAAGGATTTACTTATAGAATTTTAAAAATTCATTGCATAAGCATTAATTAATCTTTGAAAATTACAATGAAGTCTCGATAGAGTAAATTTTTATACGCCCGTCTTAAGACGGGACGTATTATGTTATAGGCTTCATGTCCGTCTGTCTGTCCGTCTGTCCGTCTGTCCGTCCGTCCGTCTGTTAGCTTTTGTCGTGTCCGGCTCATAACTTGAATACTATAAGGCCTAGAGTTATCAAACTTTGTCAGCTGATACATCTTGGGTAGAAGGTGTGTCGCGCACAAAAAGTAGGTCGCTCTGACCTATGATTAAAAAGTTATAGCCAAATATGGAAAAATCCTGTCCGGTCCATAACTAGAAAACTATTAGACTTAGAATCATCAAACTTGGCCACTTCATGCATCTTAGGTAGAGGGTGTGTCGCGACCTATTTCAAGGTCACTGTGACCTTTAATTTAAGTGAAATTTAAAAAAAAAATGTCTTGTTTTCTCTTCATTTACACACTCCAAAAAATGTAAAAGTATTGCACTATTCTTATTAGAAAAATGTTAAATCAAGAAAATACTTATTTTTTTAAGCATATACTTGACAGCAATCTATAACAAATGTAATGTATGTTAAAGAAATTCCACCACTCCCATGAGTTTAATTATCAAGCACTGGTCAAGAAGAATTTTGATAACAGAAAATTGCATGTCAAATTAGAGAAATTAATGAGTTTAGTGTGAGGGAGAGCATCGATGCTATCTATATCCCTTGAGTATTGGGTCAATTGGGTAATCCTGTTGGATTAAAAATAGCTCTTGTTGGCTAGCATAAGTTTTAAAATGAATTTGATGAGAAGTAAATAAAACTAATTTGATTTTGCATAATAAACTATTTTGATATTACATAATATTATGAACTTTAAAAAAATAATTTTATGGGGGTGGGGTGGAATCAGCATGTCCATATGAATTGCATATTAAAACCTGTCTGCCATTAAATCTAACAAAAAAATCATTGAGGTTTTATATGTTTTAAAAATGCTTTATGGTAGATAGTGCAGATCCAATAATCTCTTGGGAGTAATGAGTAGACAAGCATCCAGTTAAAGATTAATTAATGTGTTCAGTGTAGCAAGGCTATAGTTGTCTCAATCATTTCTTCAGAGCATTATCTTAATTAACTGACAGTGCATCCTTTCGGAATTAGACAGAAGAACTGTTGGTCAGTTTATATTTGATGGCCAGCCTTTTATTTTCAAAATTAATTAGGTATAGATTAAGTTGTTAAGACTAATTTGATATTGTTTAATATGATAGGCATTTGGCAAGGTCTAACACAACCAGTATAGAAATCTATGAATGATGCAGTATATGTTATAATTAATGCCTACACCACAGGAGATGGATAAACACATTTTTTAAGGAGTCGAAAAATCATGGAAATCTTAAAATCAAGGTTGACATGATTTTCTTGCACTTTTAATTGTTTAAGATAATTGTAATTTTTTGACGGGCGTATCATGCTGTGGCGTGGCACTTTATTGAAACTGAAAAATTCAATACTTTGACTATCAATAAATGCTGTGATGGAAGTGTGGGTATTCCTCAATGATAGAACAAGGTCATAGATAAAGACATTTTACACACTTGCATACTGATACTAAAACAAGAAAATTATTTCTATATATACTGGTACTGAGTATTCAGCCCATAACATTCTGTTAGGATTTAGTTCCATTGAATCTGAGGCTATGAAAATATGGTTTGGGTACCTTAATTTAAAAAAAAATAAATAAAAAAAACCCTAGATCATACTTTTAACTTAATTGTAACATTTTGATATTGATATTCTTTTATTAAATTGTTATTAAGTCTGTTTAAAAAAATATTAAATTAATTAAATTTTGTTTGTAATTTATGTAAATCCTTTTTTGTCCACTAAAAATCTAAGAAAGCATCATCCTTAAGCAATTTTTCTCTAAAATTAGAAATTTACAAATTCTTTTCTTTTTCAGTGATATAGGAATAACATTTGGTGTACTTTTACCAATAATCTTTATGGCTGCTGCAGTTTTATTATTCAAATTTGGAAATTTATTGGAACATTGCAGAACAGGTATCTTTTTTTTCCAGCTTTACGAACTGGAAGCTCAAGGTTTATATTCTGATTAAATTTTGTGTGACATTTGTTTATCCATCCTTCTTTTCAGTACTGTAAAAGTGGTTATTTACACTGGTTGTTGAGTACGCGTTTGTGACTGTCAAACATTACGCGTGGGTATAATATACGCGGTCGCACGAGTTACCGAGAAAAATTTACGCGGTCAGCCATATCGTAACTAACATCAGGTCGTTACCCTTTAAAAATGATAAGAAAAAAATTAAAAACAATTACAAACAAACTAAACAAATCAATTAGATAATAATTAAAACTGTAGGATTGGTAAATATACTGTCGATGTATATATGCAGTCAAAAGCGGTGATGTGTGAACAACTGGTGTATGATTTAATATAATTATTAACACAAGCTCTAACTTCAAAGTGAAATCTACTTACCTGTATCTGCATGTCGAATAGGTATGATCGTAGTGACTGTGAGTTTATTTAAACATTTTTGACTAATCATTTGAAATTAAGAAAGCTATAAACAATGAAAAACGAATATACAAAGGAAATGAAAATGAGTATCAATGTTATGAAGCTTTAATTGCGTGACGTTGCTTGCGTTTTTCATTGCACAAGTAACTTAATAAACAGTAATGTTTTCATCACAGTTTGTGACATATTTATTTATTTTCATGCGTTCAATTCCACAATAAATGTATGTTTTGATCAACCCGTCTAAGAGTATGAGTAATAATCTAGAATTATTCCAGAAGATTAAAATTTTGTGACCATACGCGCGGGGGTATTTTACGCGGTTTTAAGTATACCGCGTAAGTAGTGTAAATTTCCCCCACGCGTAAATAACCACTTTTACAGTATACAGAGCATTTAGCTCAGTTGAAAGAAACTACATGCATACAACAAAATCCACACACTGATCCAAAAAGATTTAAGCTACTGTGGAATGATTTTCATTTGTGGGGGTCAATGTTTGTTGGTAAGCAAAATTTTGTAGGTTCGTGGGCACATAATTTTGTGGGTAACTCATATATACAGAAGGCTCAATAAATAAATTTGTTGAAAAAATAAATGTTCCTGGGGATGTAAATTTGTGGATAAGGGTTACCCACAAAATCCACGAACATCGGTACCCCACAAACATTAATGACTCGGTCATAAAAATTAAATGTTGCAGACTGATTTTCACATTTTCATCTTCTTCTCAAGAACCACAGGGCTGGTTTCACCAAAACCAATGGTACAGAGTATCCCTGGGTAAAGGGAATTCAAACTTCTTCAAATAAAGGGCCATGCCCTCTTCCAAGGGGAGATAATAACAAATTAGTGAAAAATTAATGGCATCATTTAAAAATCTTATTCTCAAGAACCACTGGGCCAGGAAACTCATGTGGAATCATCCCTTAGGTAGTGTAGATTCAAGTCTGTTCAAATCATAACCCCAGGGTATAGGGCGGAGCCACAATGGCCGATCAAAGTTTTGCATATACTGATAGGAATATATAAGAGAAATCTTCAAAAATCTCGAGAAAAGTAAATCTATTATTGGTCATATTTATATAAAAGTATATGAATGAAAATGTGCAATGACATTAACAACATTTATTTGCTTTATCTATAATAGAAGAACAATGATAATCGGAACTGAAAATTTCAGATTTTATTCATTTCTTATATCTCTTGGAAACCCTCAATCTCTTGTGGCCCTTTGAACTTTGAGAAATTGAGATTCACATGTATTTACAAAATCTACATTGTTAGTATTTGTTGAAATTGTCAACATCACAATGATGACCATGTTGTCAAAGTATCCACACTTCTGTGCTGCTAAACCTGGAGAGACTGACTCTCTGTCAACAGTAAAGGAAAGGGAACAATACAATGCTGATATGGTTACCCACCATCTTTTCATCAATCTTGTATACTTTTCCTGAAAGATGAATGCAAAAATCTCTCACTCCTACAGTTTGATAATTTTTCTGCTAAAACTTTTTTAGAATCACATGTTCTATTTCATAGGGAGCAGAGAAAATATAGACATTGAAGGTCATCCATGTGTGAATGAAAAACTTTTGGAAAATAATGAAGAAGGGGAGAAAAAAGATGAGAATGAAAGGAATGGTATGTCATGTTCATGAGGATTTTTTTTTACCTCAGCTGTTTAAAATCAAAAGAGCTTTTGGCAAATTGAAACCAAATTGGCAGAATATCTAGCTTTATGTCTGTTTCTTTGTAAAGGATTTTTTCAAGCTGCTACTCACTATCCAATTGTTTTAAATGCATGTTTTGGATATTTTAAAACCTATGATCTTACCAGTACATGATCTTAAAACTTCAGATGATATCAACCAAAGCTAAGGTCACAATGACCTACCTTTGGAATTATTTAGATATTTCAGATAAATATTGGTATCGAATCTTCAAACTTGTCAATTCTTGCATCTGTGGTTCTCTGAGTCTCTGCATTTTTCAACTCTGAGTGTTTGCAACACTAGGAAAAGTATCAAAAAATAATTACAAATTAACCATTCCCTACCTTTTTCCCCTTGACACAATGCCACTTGATTACAATTACTTGGCCAGACTAACTATGTCTACAGTGAAGGTAAGGGACTGACACAATGCAGCTGATATCATGGTTACCCACCATCTTTGCATCTTTTTTTTCTTCTAAGAGATGCATGTACACTCCCCATTGTGGAACACCCTCAGTGATGCAAATTGTAAGTTACTCTTTAATTAAATCATTAATGTCATGTCCTAATTTTGTAGAGAGCACAGGGAATATACCGCCAACTGAGGAGGATAAGCTTTTGGAGTGTAATGAAGAAGAGAAGAAACAGAATGTAGAGAATAAAAGGAAAGGTATGTATTGTTATAATGATAAAGAAATCATTTGCTCAGTTAGTCAAAATTAATTTTAAAAATAGGATTTAGAATGGTAAGAGCAAAATGGCTGTATACGAGGGCTGTTCAATAAATAATGTCCTCGGTGCTTTTCAAGGATTTAGCCTTAATGATTTTTCTTAAATATTCTCTTTTAATTGAAACACATATCTGTAACATTTTTATCAAATTTCTGATTGTTTTTAAGACACATTTTTGAGTATTGCCCCTCGTATACTGGAATATGGCAGATCCTATCATTTACTTGACTTGTTTCTTCTTTCTGAAAGGTGTTTTTCAAGTTTGGAAAGTGAAACAAATCAAAGGGTAAAAGATCTTGTGAATATTGTTGGTTTGACAAAACCTTAACTTCCTTTTTATTCCCAAAACTACTTAACTTTCAAGGCCTGTGGGTTTGGACGCTGTCATGACAAAATTTAATGTAGTGGATTCCTGACAAACCTTGGGTGTTTTTGTCAAGTGCATCTTATTGCAAATTTGCTTTGAGGGTTCAAAGCAATGGAATCAAGTTTCACTATCTGTTTGAAGTTCAGACAAACGTGGATAACTTCCATTTTTGATTTTTTAAAGTAATTGTTTAGATATTCTTACACACTGTTGTTTTCACTCATTTTCCCAAAAATAGGGTGACTATAGAGTACTTAGCTTTTTTACTGTCAAATGTTTCTTTAAAACATTGTAAATTACTGCCAAAATGATGCCTATAAATTTTGCTATGTGTCTTAAATTCAATCAAACATCATTAGTGATTATTTGTTGAATTTTCGCAAACATTACATTGGTTGTTGTAATTATTTGCCGCCAAGGATGGTACCCATTTTTGATGCCCATTATATCATTTTGTTGATTTAAATCCATTTGCTCATGTATCTATAAAACAGACATTAGTTGCTGAAAATTTCACATATTTCAGGGAATATTTCTTTGGGATTCTTAACGAGTTTTACAGCAGCTTTCATGAAGCGTTTATTTTCAGTCTAGTTTACTGATTCTTTACCATTTATTTTTAACGCAGTGTCTCGAATAGCCCTTGTTTTCCAGTTCTCACAATGAAACTGTGATGAAAGGTGGTCAAATAAATTGTAATCAATTCAGTAATGATTCAATCATGAGAGAAAGTCAAGCCTAATGTCATATGATTTCTATATCATATGTCATAGAGCTCAGGATATTATTTGTTCAACAGCCCTTGTATGTCTGTTTCTTCACAAAGCTGTTTTTCAAACTGTTGCTCCTAAAATTTTGAACTAGTAGACCAAATATACAATGAATCTTTTTCTAACATATTGAAATTCATGGCCCCAGGGTCAGGGATTCTGGAGATAGGGTGGGACTCTATTGATCATATAGGGGAATTGCTTTAGAATTCTCTCCCCCTGTTTAGTAATCAAAGAAACTGCGCATGGTAATAATAAGCAAAGTTGTTTTTTCCAAAATTTTGAATATCATGGCCTCCCATGTTAAGGCATAAAGTTAAAATGCATTATTTATTTTAAAAACTTATTCACTGTTCCTGGGTATTTGGCAGACACATATAATATTGATGAGCAAGAAAGTGTCTTTGTATGAAATGAAATTCATGACCCCTGGTTAAAGAGTTCACCTGTAGGGGCAGGGATCTATCAATTATACACAATTTAGTAAAAATGCAGTATTTCTTTAAAATTCTTTTTCTCTGCCCATGAGTATTTGGCAAATATATTAAGCTTATGCGTATGATGTGCAAGGGTGCCTCATCCAAAGTAATGAGTTTCTTAGCCCCTGGGATAATGGTTTCTTGTACTTGGATGGTTTGATTAAATAATACAAAACAAAGAAACATTTCTCTGTCCTTTAGTATTTGGAAAACATTCTTTTCACTTGGCAATGATGAACAAGGGTAAGTCTTCCAAAAGGTTGAAATTTAATTATTACCTCAGAGACAGCAGTTCTGTGAAAGGACAGGGCTCTATTAAGGAATCACTGTCTAGTTAGTATAGTATGCCAGGCATCAACGATAGTGGGAAACATGGGGTAATTTGCATAATGGGCGAAGCTTGCTATGCATAAATTATCCCATGTTTCCCACTATCATTGATGTCCCTGGCATACTGATACTATACTAACTAGACAGTAATTCCTTATATTTCCATTTCACTGTGAAATAAAATTGAAGATTTAATTTTTTTTATAATGTAGCCATAGATTTTAATTACAAGAGGACTTCCATGCCAATTACAATAGACCTCGGCAACTGACGTCAAACACAAAGGCAGCTGCATGAGATTTACATGTATATTTGGTCTCATTAGCGTCAAACACAGAGACAGATGTGCACGAGATTTGCATGCATATTAGGTCTCTTTAGCTCCTGACCTATCGACCTGCCTAATTTACATTCCGGTAGAAATATCAAGAAATCAACTAAGCTAACTTTCAAAGAGTTATCACAGAGAAAAAAAAGAGGGAGGGGGGGTTTATATTCTATGGACATATCTTCTGAAGTTTTTTTTATCTTATCTTTAAATTACTTAAACCTATAATATACAACTCCATGTTTCTATAATGGGAGAAACCGGTTCCATAACCTGTGCATGTTTCCTCAATTTGACCTAAATATTTTTTTTTGAATTTTCAAGAGATACTTGGCAAGATTCATGTCTTTTGAAAATCAAAAAAGTTAAATGAAAGTTTTAGAACTGGTTACTTACTTGCACTGGCTATTGCATCCTATATATTTATTTACTCCAGAGGACAAAACATCAACAAAGCCTCCTGAAATAGTTGATTCACACAGTGGTTCAAGTATTCCTAATTCGGAGAAGGCATTGACACAGATGTCTAAAAATCAAAGGAATGAATGCAGTGACACAGGGTCAACTCCAGTGAATGGATCTTCAGAAATCACTGCACAAGCAGATGGTAAGTAAATTAGAACTGCTGTATTTATATCAATTAATAGAAGCATGATGCACTAATGTGCAATATTCACTTTGTTGGCATGGCCAGGTGTGTTATAGGACCAAAGACATCCCAAATTATGAATTCAATGCTTGAAAATAGAACCTTGATATAATATGTTCATGATTTTAAAAATTCATTGCAATGAATTACATGTAGTGTTCATTAGTTTGAGAAGAATGTAATTAGGGCCCCGCAAGGATTTGCGGGTGCCCTATTGTAATCACTCTGTCCGTCCGTCTGTCTAGCTGTCTGTCTGTCTGTCTGTCTGTCCGTCTGTCACTCTTCCGTCCACAAATTTTCTGTTTTTTTCTAATAACTTTTTTTATGGTTGCCCAATCAAGTTCAAATTTGGTATGGTAGTTCAGTATGCAGAAATACATATTTTGATGCTAAGTTTGGTCCTCTATGTCTTCTGGTTTGGAGCTGGGGTGGTGGGGTAGATTCCTTAACTATGCATAAGAATGAATGGGCAACTTTTTTTATGGTTGCCCAATCAAGTTCAAATTTGGTATGGTAGTTCAGAAGGCAGAAATACATATTTTGATGCTAAGTTTGGTTCTCTATGTCCCCTGGTTTGGAGCTGGGGTGGTGGGGTAGATTCCTTAACTTTATATACAAAAGCATTGTCAAAGAGAGATAACTGCTGAAGATGTTCCCATTGTAAACTGAATGCTGCTATGAGTCCCTTGGGATTAATTAGCTCTCCTCCTGAAGAAAATCCAGTGAGAGCATTATCTTTATCTGTCAAATTGAGATGAATTACCACCTCTGTTTGCAAATGAAGTTTGTTTTTAAGTTAAGTCAATTTGGAATGCTATGAACACTCTGAAATGTGGATTTAAATATAAATTTTAATAATTTATTTTTTTTAATAGTTATGATTTCATTGAATTCTAATAAGTAAACAAGAAATTTTTTGATTTACTTTTTTCACTTTATGTTAATTCAAGAATATTATTAATTTTTAGGATAGTGGTATAAAAACCCATTCAAACATTAATACTGAAAAAGTTCTTATTGTAAATTTTGAAGAAGAAAATGATGAGAGAGGTACAATTAATCCCTTGGGATTAATTATCTAGCCTGCTGCAGAAAATTTAGTAGGCTTTTCTTTATCTGTCACTTTAAAATTAATGAAAACCTTTGTTTGCAACTGCTGTTTGTTTGAAGTTAAGGTCAAGCCTTCATGATATTTGCATTCATTGAAGGCTGGCATGTTATATAACACAAGCTTCATAATTGTTTAAATACACATTCAATGTTAAGTTGTTCTTTACTGCCTAATGTACAAGGATATTATTTTCAGGTTTTTGAATATTCAGGAATTATCTTGAAATTTTAAGAATACAGTTGCTGTTGCTTATTCTTCGTACATTTTTTAATCATTCCGTAAGCTGCACCCTATTTATTCTACCCCATGGCGGGGCCCTTGCTGACTGGTCAGTTTTCTAGTTGTGTGAAATTAACAATAAAATTGAATGACACACAGATAAGTATTTGATATAGATTCTGAAGGTATTTGAGTATCATTCATTTAGTGAAGTTGTTATTTAATAATTAATTAAAGTTATTAATTTTTAAGGTATTTTTTTAAAAATGTCATTTGAAATGACCTTGAGCAAATTATAAAGATTCTGTTTTCACCATCTTTGATTTCTTTGATATATTTTTTTTTTTTGAAAAATAATATTAGAAATTATGTCTTAATTTTCAAGAAAACTAAACATTTTCCTGATAAAACAAAGAAAATTAATTTTAATAAATGCTTTTGTTATTGAGTATCAGTATAGATGTACTTTATTAATACCGGAGAAATCCTTTTGGCTTAGATGATATACAGGGGAGAAAGGAGGTATCCATTGATATTGGAGAAAGTGAACTGTCATCTATTACACAAGGCAATGTGGAAAAAGCAAAAAATGAAAGTACTGAAAAGGATGAGAATCAAAGTAATAAAACAGGTAATAAAGATAGAGATGTAAAACTGCATGCAATTGACAATAGGGAAGGTAGTTTAATCCCTGAGCAAGTGATTTCTACATCAAATCAAACTCCAAAGAGTGATATAAATCAGGAAGACAGTAGGGACTTACAGGATGACAACAAAATGTCTGACTGTTCCACTGGTGGCTCTGGTAAAGAACAAGGTGATTCTTCTGAGCCTAAACCTGATGAAAAGGGCAGTAAAAAAGTAACTACTGCAGAGGATACTGGAGAAACTAGTTACAGTATTCAAAACAACCATGAAAATAAAAACAGTGTAGACCCTTCTAATAACTTGACAGAAGCAAGTGTTGATCAGGATGGGAATTTAGATGCATGTAAACCTAACCCTGACAGTATTGTAGAAACAGGTTAGATATTTTATTGAATTGAAATTTTTGTCATGTGTTTTTACAATTGCTTCATATTTGTAATATTCTAATTAGTTTTATTTGCAGAAGTTGAAATAGGTGTTTAAAGACAGCTTATAAATAATTTTAAAAATAGAGTATTTCATATATTTTAATATTTTGATGTTTTTCAAAGAAATACATCAAATACATGTGATATTAAGGTGCCCATTTTTCTGTATGTGTGTAAATAATTTTTCAAAATACAACTACAGTGGAGCCTCATTTATCTGGATGCTTTGGTTCCCAGTCAATTTGTCCGGATATGTGAAGCATTCGGATACCTGAATTGCCTTGATTTTTAATTATTTGGCCTCACAGAACATTGGCAGTAGTACAAAATGTTGCTTAAATCTGTGAATATGTTTTAATGTTTAAATACTTTAATAATGTAAGTACAGTTGATTCTCCATAAACAGCCACCTTTTGTAATTTAGAAATCATGGCAGTATAACGAATTTGATGAAGAATTGAATTGAATTCTTCATCTTTTAGGAAACAAGAAATGGAGTTACCTTTCTTAGAAATGCCATTTTGTAATTACATGTACATGTATATAAAAAACATACCGGTATTTCTAATTCTGAAAATACTTCAAGTAATTTTTTTCATGTTCAATTTTGCTAAAACAAAATGTGCTGTTATGAAATACCAGGTAAAGACATGTACATGTGAATGCATGTAAATCTGCACATCTGATATTAAAAAAAAATAACATGCTGGGTTGATCGTCAAATGATGATTTTAGCAGAGCTGACATCAAATGGATCACCTCGCCCTTTTCCGTCGCACGCTAGAAAAGGGCGAGGTGATCCGATTGAGCTGACATGCCAATTAAAAATTCCAGTCCATATAAATATAAATAGTATAATAATTAATTTTTGTGGTGAAAAAAGACTTTCCAGATAGCGAAAGCGGAATTCTGGTTAAATAAATGAGACAAAATAACGTTAAAAAATTCTGTTCCCATGAAAGATCGTCTAGAAACTGTAGTATCTGGATATCTGAAGGTCCACTCTACTCCTACTTACTGTGTAGGTTTGATTTAAAAATATCCTGGCACACATGTAGACTACAATATATGATACATAATTCTTTTTATCAGTTTTTTTTTTTTGGATGAACAGTGTTGCCATTGCTACTAAAAATAGAAATGTTTGTGAAATACTTCAAAATTGCTACTCCTTTTACTGTTATAGTCTGATTTTTGTATAGCTTGACATGCTAGTAGACTACTCTTAGATACAAGTTGCGTTTATTTTTATGCCCCGCCATGAATATGGCCGGGGCATATAGTGTTTTATAGGGATGTGCGATTTTATCGGTATACCGGTATATCGCAATTTTTTGTTGCATGATATGTATCGTGAAACGGAGATCTAAATACCGGTTTTTAGGTACATATTATAAAGTCCAGAAATTATTCATTTATTTGTTCAATCTTTCAAATTACAATTGCAGAAAGTATTAAAAAAATGTTGTTAAAAGTGAAAAGAACTACATCTTACCGTCCAAACATAATTGATTTTATATATTCATAAAAATTTCAAGAATGCAAAATTTTGTTTTTATAGCATATTTTTTAGAAAAATAATGACTTTTCATATAAAATCATTGTAAAAACTGCTTTTAAAAATATCAAGATATTATCGTGATATTGTGGGAAAAAAATCGTGATATATCGCGATACGAAATTTTTGGCGATACCCATCCCTAGTGTTTTTCATGTCCGTCTTCCGCCTTCTGTCCTTCTGTCTGTCCTTCGCGTTTAGCTCTGTTCAAAGCTAAGTTTCAAAGAAACTATACAAGATATTTTCATCAAACTTCATATGCTGATAGATATTGATGAGAGCTATGCAACTGCATCAACATATTTTGACCTTGGCCTCACTTTTCTTAGATTAGCGTTTAGCTCAGTTTTAAACATACCATTCAAGATGGTGTTATCAAACTTCACATGTTGATACAAACTTCCACGGATAATACATCTAGGGATACACACTACCAGACTTGGTTTGGATGCTGAATCTGACCTACATTTTCCAGATAAGTGACCAGATTAAAGTTTTTGGAGCAGGTCCATTCCTAAGGAACTGTAAGCCCTACTTGGACCAAACTTGCATGGATGATGCATCTAAGGACGGACACTACCAGACTTGCTTCGGATGCTGGATGTGACTTACATTTTCCAGATGAGTGACCAGGTTAAAGTTTTTAGGGCAGGTCCATTTCCAAGGAACTATAAGCCCTACCCAAACCAAACTTGCACGGATGATGCATCTACAGATGAACACTACCAGACTTGCTTAGGATGCTGGATCTGACCTACATTTTCATTCTCAAGTAACTATAAGCCCTACCTGAACCAAACTTGCATGGGTAATGCATCTAGGGATGGACACTACCAGATTTGCTTCGGATGCTGCATCTGACCTACATTTTTATTCCCTTGTAACTATAAGCCCTGCCTGAACCAAACTTGCATGGATGATGCATCTAGGGATGGACACTACCAGACTTGCTTCGGATGCTGGATCTGACCTACATTTTTATTCCCTCGGAACCATAGGCCCTGCGTGAACCAAACTGATAAAATTTTATACATAGACAAATTTTCATGTTGCTTTACTAATATATCCTCAGGGGGGGCATTCATGTTCTATGGACATATTTCTAGTTTTTATTAATTTTGATGAGTAATGTTGCCATGTTCATGAAAAATTGTTTTTCTGATGACTTCTCCTACAGTTTTTGTCTGAGTGCAATAAATCTTATCGCAAAAGGGACTAATTTCCAATGATTATACCGGAATTGTCCGGTAATGCTATTTTTTGCCGTTGGCAAATTTCAAGTTCAAGTGCCTCTTTTCTTTTCCTTTGTATTGAGTCTTATCAGACTGGTTGAAAAAAAGTAGAACCTAGTACATGCATGGGAGACATCATCTTTACTAGCCAAGGATTTTAGGTCTGCAGCGCGCTGCATACCGAAAACTTTTTGCTAGTGATGATGGGGTGACATTAGAAATAAAAAACTCTGGACATTCCTCATGATAAAAATGACAGAATAAAATTAATAAATGTACATTAGTCATTGTTTCTCCACATTGTATCTTTAACCATATCAAATTTTTAGATCAGCAGTGAATATATTATTTATTATAAATTGTAAATGAATGTAGGTATAAACTTTCAGAAATGTGCAGTAATTATAGTTTCCTTTGTTTGATAATTTTTATTTTTATTTTAAGACAAGAAGGGGGAAATATCTTTAGAGAAAGAAGATGCCGGAGGAGTGTTTGATGAGACACTGGACTCTATAAAAAGAAAAGATGGTAATTCGTGTATGACTCAATTTCTAACTCACCTGAGCTGAAAGCTTAAATGAGATTTTCTGATCTGACATTTTGTCTGTAGTCTGTCTGTTTGTATGTAAACTTTAACATTTAAACTTATTCTTATCAAGATCACTGTCAGAAAAAAGTCCACAATTTCTCTATGGTCTATATATAACTTTCTCATGGAGAATAATGGGATCTTGGGAGTTTCCACAACAAACAGATTACTTATTTAACCACTCAATATGCTTCATTTAAGCAACGAATCATTATTTTTTGAAAGATATTTTCTCCATTTGCAACGGTGTGTGCAAAAGAATTGAATAATTAACACACATTATCTTGTATCTTTACATGCAAAATACATGTGTAATGTAGAAATTGTATATTGGCAAGTCTTTTTAATGAACCTAGCTTTTTGTTCATAGAAAAATTCTTTAAAAATCTTCCTCACAAGAACAGCAAAGTCATAGGTAGCCTTTATATAGAAGCATCCTTAGGAAGTAGGATACATACGTTTCATTGTGAAAATTTCAACTCATTATTTACTGACACTTTTTTTAGGTCACCTGAGTCACTCAAGTGACCTATTGCCATCCATGTTGTCCGTCAGTGTCCGTCGTTCGTCGTCCATTGTCCATCGTGTGTTAACATTTGAACATTTTCAGCTTCTTCTCTGAAACCGCTAAACCAATTTCAATTAAATTTTGTATACAGCATCAGTGGGTGAAGGGGAACAAAAATTGTAAATTTCATGGTCCCTGCCCCCCTTGGGCCTGAGGGGTGGGGCCAAAACCACTAAAATTAATGCAATCTTTAAAAATCTTCTTCTTTACTCCTGGACTTTAAGCAGTCAAACTGTTTGCATGATTGCAATCAGCAATGAGTACTCTACTAAAATTGTGAAATTCATGGCCCTGGGGTCAGGGGTTCTAGTGCTAGGGCAGGCTAAATAAGTAGGTAGTAAAAATCCATTATTTCTTGGAAAATCTTCTTCTCTGCTCCTGAGTATTAAATAAACCAAATAAGAACATAGTTATGATGAACAAGAGTGTCTCTACCAAAATTGTGAATTTTACGGCCCCAGGTTCAGGGGTTCTGGTGTTAGGGTGGGGCTCTATTGATTATATAGTGAAAATACATGAATTCTTTGAAAATCTTCTTCTCTGCTCCTGGGTATTGAATAAACTAACTAAGTACATAGTTATGATGAGCAAGAGTGCCTCTACCAAAATTGTGAATTTTATGGCCCAAGGGTCAGGGGTTCTTGTTTTAGGGCGGGGTTCTAATGATTATATAGTGAAATGCATGACTTCTTTGAACATCTTATCCTTTGCTCCTGGTTAATATGCTAATGATCTAATTACATATTTAAGGCCAGGATTTATTTTATTTTCAGTTTTACAAACCCTCCGCTCAAGGTTTTGAATTTTCAGAAAAAAAATAAGAAAAATTTCTTTCTGATGTCAAATTTGAGTCGAGATCGAGATTTCAAATTTACAAAATCGCACTTGCTGTTTTACGATGAAACTGCGGTAAATAAAGCTAGATCTGAGAAGATAGATTGGTTTAGTGTAAAATTCATTGATAAGAGTGCCATTCAAGAGATTTAACCGAGCCTGTTCCTGTGACGTCAGTAGCTAGTGGGGAGATAACCTCAAAGGAAGAAAAAGATCAGGAACCAAAAGTAAAGTCTACCACCAAGCCAAAACCCATGTCCGAAAAACCAAAACCCTTGGAGAAATCTCAAAGCAAAGAGTCAACATCAGTCGTAAAATCAAGACCTTCATCTGTGGTAAAGTTGCAACCCTTGAAAACAACATTTACACAGTCAACAGAGAGGAAAATAGGAGTTTCATCAAATAAGCGATCCTTGACCATAACTGTTGACAGTCCAAGGACAAAGGCAACTTTACCTGAGACAACAGAATATTGTATACTGTCATCATGTGGATCTATGGACAGGAGAGCATGGAGACATGCCCTAGCAAAGCACCTGCCAGCTGTGTTCAAGGACGCGACTGGTGTGGAGCATTTGCCTGGTGCCGTCCAAGCACTAAGATGGTTGGTTCATATGGCCTATGGACAAGATGCCTCACTATGGGATGCGGTACACATAGTGAATCAGTCAGGTTTAATTCCAGAGTCTGCAAACCTAAATCCATTGCATCATAAAGTATTTACAGAAGCATGCAAGTTGTTGCAGATTTCAGAGCCCAGTCATTTCACCTTGCGACCCATCAACTCTCCTGCTGTGTTGCTGTTCTGGAGGTGCATCATGGTGATTCTGAATAGCTGTAGTCCTGATCAACAGCAGCAGTTTTACCATTTTCAGCCTTTAGAAGACCCCAGCCAGGAAGACAAGATGGTTGAGGAAGCATCGGATTCTGAACTGCCGTCAGACTTGGAGGAATTTATTCTAGTGGATGAAGCTGATTCAGAGCAAGATGAAACTACAGTACTGGCCAATATGTTATTGCCCCAGGTATTTGATGCCCATTTCCACCTAGACCGTTCACTTAGGGCAGTCTGGGGGAGGTCTGGAGGACGTACTGTAGAGGAATTATTGCAATGCAGCTTCTCCAGTGATGTTTCCTATAAACCAGCCACTAAAGTAGACGTTGTTGGGGGAATTATCATATATAGTGAGCCCAAGTCCTATCCAGAGGTAAACTTCACCTTACAAGGTCCCTGGAAAGTGGCTATTGGAGTCCATCCCAAACATTATGATTCCCTCACCGTCGAAAAAACAATGATGATGCAACAACTTCTAGACCATCCTAAAGTAGTGGCATTGGGGGAATGCAGCCTGGACAGAACCATTGCTCCTTCACAGTTGTGTAAACAAGAAGAGGTGGTTGTTAGGCTTCTAAAGTTATCAAAAGTCGAGCAGCCCCTTTTTCTCCACCTCAGAGGACCAACGCCCTTTTCCAAGGGGAGATAATTATGAATAAGTGAAAAATTATTGGCATTTTTAAAAAATCTTCTTCTCAAGAACCACTGGGCCAGGAAAGATGAAACTCATGTGGAATCATCCTCAGGTAGTGTAGATTCAAGTTTGTTCAAATCATGACCCCCAGGGGTTGGGCGGGGCCACAATGGCCGACCAAAGTTTTACATAGAAATATATAGGAAAATTCTTGAAAAATCTTCTTCTCAAGAAATACAAAGTCATGATTGGTCATATTTATATGGAAGCATTCTCAGGTAGTGTAGATACAAGTTTGTTCAAATCATGACCCCCGGGGTAGGGCAGGGCCACAATGGCCAACCAAAGTTTTACATAGAAATATATAGGAAAATTCTTGAAAAATCTTCTTCTCAAGAAATACAAAGCCATGATTGGTCATATTTATATGGAAGCATCATCAGGTAGTGTAGATTCAAATTTGTTCAAATCATGACCCCTAGGGGTAGGGCAGGGCCACAATGGCCGACCAAAGTTTTACATAGAAATATATAGAAAAATTCTTTAAAAATCTTCTTCTCAAGAATAACAAAGCCATAATTCATCATATTTATATGGAAGCATCCCCAGGTAGTGTAGATTCAAGTTTGTTCAAATCATGACCCCCGAGGGTAGGGCGGGGCCACAATGGCCGACCAAAGTTTTACATAGAAATATATAGGAAAATTCTTTAAACATCTTCTTCTCAAGAATGACAAAGCCATGATTGGTCATATTTATAAGGAAGCATCCCCAGGTAGTGTAGATTCAAGTTTGTTCAAATCATGACCCCAAGGGGTAGGGCGGGGCCACAATGGCCGACCAAAGTTTTACATAGAAATATATAGAAAAATTCTTTAAAAATCATCTTCTCAAGAAATATATAGAAAAATTCTTTAAAAATCATCTTCTCAAGAATAGTAAAGCCATGATTGGTCATGGGACTTCTTTTGGATTAAAACTTATCAATGATAAACCCATTTTCTACTTTTTTCTAGCCACAGTGCTCAGGTGAGCGATGTGGCTCATGTGCCTTTTGTTGTTTGTATAATTGTTTTAATAATTGTGACCATTATAGTAGTCAATAGGTATTGTTTATAAAGTAATATTTTGTATATTGAAAATTTTAAAAAAAAATTATAAAATAACTCAAACACAGAACTGTTCATCCATAAGGACGTTCCAATTGGAACGGGGAGGGGTGTAGTACGAATGAAATTTTGTACAAGCTACTAAGGGGTTTCCCCGATTCTATAATTAGATTAACAGAGACTTTCTTCCCGCCAGCCCTTGCAGCACTGCAGAACTTTAATATTTGTATTTTGATATATTTGTACTTTAATATTGTTGTACCTGTGCTTACAGAATACATTATAAAATAAGTAAAGGTGTATTTTTTCTATAACTGCCCGTGGTAGCTATTGCATATTGCCAGCAACATTGTTTAGGTCTCTGTTATAGCTTACAGTCTAAGCATCATTCTGCAGAAAAGGGATGCTTATGCATCAGATGTAATGAATAAAACTATGGGAGAAGTTAAGTCCATTTGAAGAAGAAATAAACAATAACCTGAAGAAATAAAAAAAAATTCAACTATTAAAAGGCAAGAATATACAAATATATACAGGCATGTAGTATCATTTGTATCAGCCAGAAAAAATTATTTCACACTTAATTGAAAAAATGTTCACCCTACCCCCTAATACTCCTTGTCTGTTTTATGATTGGAATTATAATTTTAGGCATCAAGTAAATTTTAGAACAATGTCTACACATTCACCTAACACATATTAAAAAAAATGAAGATATATTGAAAGACTTTTAGGCCATAATAAATAAATTGCTAGATTCTCATCCGAATTTTTTTAAAAATCGAGGCGGGCGGGCGGCTTTTATTTTATATTTTTTATTTTTTCAATTTTGCAGATTTTTTATTGACCTGGTCAACCGGTGTAATTTTATCTACAATACCCGAATAAAAGTCTTAGTAAAGGTTCAATTATCTCTTACTTCACATCATCACCAATCTTTTTCAACCAATGACCTTTCA